GCCTCACAGACTGAAACAAATATTACTAAAATATTATATATATATATATATATATATATATATATATATATTTCTTTACATCCTGCTAAACTGACTGATTCAGTTCAACTCAGCACAAGAACGTATGAAACATATATACAATATGTATGTATTTTTAGTTGTGATACAGAAAATGGCCACCAGGAGGAGTAAACAAACTGGACAACACAAGCAGCATCTCATAAACACAAACATCACTGTTTTGCCACTGACGTGATCCGACCAACAGGGTGGGCTAGAGAGCCCAGAATCGACAGAGAAGTCGGGGATCTTTTCTGCAGCTCTCCTACAGATGACATGAAATATCATTCAATTCATAGAAGAGAAGCAGGATTAACACGCTGCCATCTTTAAGTTTTTTTTTTACCTCTCTGTTTCCATTTGTCATCTTTAACTTTATTAGTAGAATGTGAAAAGAGAAAAGTCATTTGGGAAGTTTAAATATTGTTTAATCTTTAACTTAAAGGAGACTTCACCCTTAGTTTGTTGGGAGGGAACTCGATCTTAACACTTAAATCCCTGTGACATTTGCTTTTTGGAGAAACTCCATCATTATACTTCTATTGTACACACACGCATGCATGAACACACGGAGAAACACACACTCACTGGCATGCACACATCATGAATGCTAAGGAGAAACTTTAGTACGATATACATGCACAAGGTGAGCCAGGGTGCAGAGCAACGTGCACAAAGAGGTTATTCTTGGCACGGCTCAGTGGCGTTGGCTTAAATCTCAGGCGTAAGCTCTGAATATATTTTCTAAAAGCTCATCTGGACAGAATAAGCATTAGCTGCATGTAAGGCTGGAAGTCAATGTGTCCGATGAAGTATTTGTACACACAGTAAATGGATGCATGTGTTCCTTATCTCCGTGTGTGTGTGCGGAGAGCTGCGATGCAAAAATCAATGTCAATGTGTGTGTGATTGGGTTTGCAGGTTTGTGTGCAGCATGGAGAGCACTGAGGTCCAGGCAGACCCTATGAGTCACAAAATAAATTTACCCAGAGCAAGCTGACATTTTTCTACTTCTCTCCCCCAGGTGCACTCCCTCTGTCATCCTCCCATTCCCGTCCTTGCTCCCTGTGTCTGTAGCTAAAACAGCGGGCCATCGTCCAAACAAGAGTGAGTCAAAACAACACAGTAATGCTGCAACTGACAAGCTGAGAATCTCCTGTGATAAAATTTAACAACAAAATAAAAATCCTCCAACTATAGCTTCCAGTTTAGACTACAATTAATCTCTTTTGAGAAACATTCAGAAAAGATAAAATTTTGAATTTTGTTTTTTAACTAAATAATTTCATTTCATTTCATTTGATCACATAACACGCAAAATTTTGATTTTACCAAAAAATAAAGTGTTTTTTTTTTCAAAATTCTTTTAATTGATGATTAACGTGTATCTAAGGTAACCTTTTTTCAACATGAATAAATAAAAAAGTATATAAATATTTTTGAGAAACAATTTTTTTTTAGATTTATTCAGGAACTTATTAGCATAGTATTTTACTGTGATCAAAAGTTGACGTACCAAAAAAGTATATATTTTTTTTATTTTAACAACAAACATGGACATAGCTAAGTATTTTAAGGCAAATGAGTGTTGTCCAGTTGTTCTTCAGTTGTTCTTCAGTTGTTCTTCAGGGGTTCTTCGGTTGTTCTTCGGTTGTTCTTTAATTAGTCGACAATAAGTCCACTCTTAGCCGATGGCCATTCAGTCACTTGGTCGGGTCATCACTCGGAGGTCACATGGACTTCACTTGGGGGTCAGATGGACTTTGCTTGGATGTCGCTTTGAGGTCACTTGGAGGTCGCTTTGACGTCACTTGGAGGTCGCTTGGATATCGCTTGGATGTCACTTGGAGGTCGCTTAGAAGTCACTTGGACGTTACTTGGAGGTCGCTTGGACGTTGTTTGGATGTCACTTTGGACATCACGTGGAGGCCACTTTAAGGTCACTTGGAGGTCGCTTGGATAACGCTTGGACGTCACTTGGAGGTCGCTTGGACGTCACTTGGAGTTTACTTTGAGGTCACTAGGAAGTCACTTAGACGTCACTTGAAGGCCGCTTCGACGTCACATGGACTTTTAAACACGAAATATTCAC